GGTGGCTGCACGCCTCTCCTCCTTCTTCATTATATGTGCATACGTGCTGGGAGGTTATTGTCATCATTGCTTGCATAATTCTATGTTATCTGTGTCAAGAATCAATCGCACAACAATGGGGGTAGCATTAATTAAAAATTGAGACAAATGCTGTCATGATTGTTACCGCTTTCGTGCCATATCGTCATACGTACAAGCTGATGAGTTACATCAAAACAATACAGTGTATGATACGGAAGTATCATTCGAGACAATTTCTGTAACTAGACCACTATTTACTCACTAAGGTCAAATCAGCAATTGTCCCACTTTCAAATATTGCTCTCAAGATTTCCACCGCGGATGGAGTGCTGTTACGCCCTCTGAAATCTCCAAGAAAACGCACTTACTACTACCGCAAATTCCAGATCTCCCTAATTTCGACGTTGTGACTTGTCAATGCTTTCGTTCTGTAGTTTACCCTTCCATTCTGCAGTCAATGCTTTCATTCTATAGTCAATGCTTCCGTTCTGTACTGCCAAACTCTACAGCGGCTCCAAAGCCCACACCCCGCAAGCGATGGGCGCGCTGCTTTGCCGTAGCAGTGTGTAAAGCACAGCGTAAAATACCAATGTAATTAATGCGCACTAAAACCACACGGTGTAAATTAAGCCGCCATCCATAAGCTTGCCTTCTGATATAATAATGCCTTCTTAGCATAAGCTTGCCTCATCTCCTAGAAATATGGAATGAGGACCGGGACTTTGCTCAATCCTGTTGAACATGGTCACTGTCTGCACGCCATGGTGGTCATTTTTAATCCCTGGAGCCAGCAACAGGATGTGATAACCCTCAGATAATCCCGTTGTGGGGCTCTTAGAGCGCTCACCCACCCTCCTTCGGCCAAAACTGGTCAGCTGACAGCTGTTACTAAATTTACAGCAGGCAGGTGAGCGCACTGGTAGGGGTCAGTTGCAAGGCCGGTCATTGTGTTTTCCCAGCAATGGTGTGGTAGCCAAACCTAGTTGAACAGTGGATTTGGTAGGGAAATGGCCACTAGTTAATGCAGCAATAAGGGTGCGGAGCATTTTCGGTTTTACCTGGTATATGAGGTATGTCAGGCTGCCAGGCTTGTCAGAGAGAATTTCTCGGGCTTGGCGGACAGACAGGTTTACCCCCAACGTCTTCATGTACGGGCCGATGACCAGAAAATTGTGTAACCTGAAAAGGGCTTAGCGCAACACCACCTCACCAAAGGCCTTCCGAAAGGCACATACAAGCACAGATTGGCCCTGTTCTCAGTTGGGGCTGTTCGAAAGATGACGTGCGCGTCTCTGAGGGCGATGGGGCGGTGGGTGGCAGTGGGGGTGGGGGTGGCAGGGGGGGGGGGGGGGGCGGTGGGTAGCAGCGGGGGTGGGGGCAGCACTGGTATGGATGTAATTTATTGCACTGTTCTATACGGTTTACTGCCGTTATTCTTTTATTTCCTCAGCTCAGACGAGTGCAAACATTTGTGGCAGACATCGACCCTGAAGGCATGGGTTACGTACCTGTCTTCATATAGATCATTGCTTCTCAGTTGGTCAAATTTTTTGTCCGGCAGAACACCCTCAACATGAAGAATTTTTCCAAGAAGTTGTCCTGAAAAGTTGGGCATCGTTCGAGGTGTTTTTTTTTAATCTGGCACGCATGTTAAGGCATCACGACATTTTGGTAACCCACCAGTTCTTCTGCATGCTATTTGTTTCTGCGCGAGCAAGCACATGATCTCTCGTGATGCGGTCAAGAACGACAAAAGGAGAGTCATGCGATGCGCCACATGGGTCAAAGAATGCGTGCTCAATGCCTATCGTTACAAACGTAGCATGGTATGAGAGCGCATTTATAGCGTCTAATAGACAATCGTTGTAAAGGTCAATGCGAGGTTAATGGTTGCTAATTATTCATCTACTGGCTGATTGCGATGCGTAATGCTTGACCTCCAATTGCGCAATGTGAGGCCAGGCATGAGTTTTATCCCGGGCGGAGTCCGGTCCGGCACAGAGATCGACGATGTTTTCTCTGAATCAGAGAAAATAAAAGTTCTTTAAGTTGGCGTTGTAAGCGGGGATTGTGTTGCTCGAAGTATCGGCGAACCGATTAGAACAACGTGTGTGAATCGTATAAACGCAATCACGTGTAGGTGTCGTTTTAAGATACATACAAGACGTTGGTAGATATGATACCTGTAGAACGGTTCATATCCTAAACCGTCGCCACGGGTTACAACTTCGGATTCGACTTCGGGATTGTGTCTTTCTCCTTCATTTGGAATCAAAGTGGAGTCATGAACAATCTTGGAGTTGGAATCGAAATCTACACCATGCTCTGTGCGATCGATCGTTGTGACTTGATCGTTGAGTTGGAATGATGCGCAAGTTTGCTCAGAGCGGTAAGCCTGTAACTTGAACTCACCATTGCCGAATTGGCGCAGAAAAGTGTCGGTGTCTCGGGCTACAGGAATGCGCAACTCCTCATCCAACCAACGATATAGGATCTCGGTCATCTTGTTTGCTTGTTATGGTGACGGAAACTATCTGGCAAGTTTGAGATACCGTGGAGCTCTGCAAGCTCGGAAGGCAGATATGCGACTGCCAAGACTCGATGCTGATGTGCCTCGTTTTTTAAATACCTGACAGCTAATGTCTGGTTTAGTTAGCTTACTTTAACGCTGTCTCAGAAATGAACAAACAAGGAGCAGATGCGATCCTAGATCACACGGAAATAATGCATTTCAAATGCGTCATTGAAGTCTTCTGCCACATAGAAAATTTTCAAGAATATTTTGCATCTCGCCTACATTTTACGCGCTCGCGACTTTGTTCCAGACCATCCCGCATGCATACTTTAAGCATGCGTGTGGGATGATCTGGATGGTCTGGGATGGTCTTACCACGCTACGGCGCTTTGGCTTTAGTGTGCTACCTGTTGCAGTTTCGTCTATGCTGAATGGGATGCTCGCCGAAACTCGGGTACCAAAGTAATTTATGCTAGAAAGCAACCATTTGAGTGTCACTCGAGGTTACACATTTGAAAACTGTTCTGACTTGTGTTGTAGGCATTGTGTTTGTATCTGTATGAGTTCGTTGCACACGTTCCATCGAGATCGTCAGCTAAGCTAAGTGCAAATTTTTTTTAGGGACAATACAGTTTATACAAGCTCCCAAAACATAGCACACAGCCATACGTTTAACATATATCAACCGAAGGTGGGCAATAATACGCAGCTTGTGGAAGCCATTCATCAGTTTCCGATTGCCTTCTAAGTTGCGTTTATATTGTGAAATGATATATCACAGCTTCTCCTGTTGAAATGACGGACCTTCCAGAACGTACTTGTTAAACGTCGTTACTAAGCCTACAATAGCATATACTATAAAAACCCGACGTTTTACAACGGCGCTCACGGTCGCGAGTGCAAATCCTTGCTTGATGGTTTCAGGCCTACCGATGCTTACTTGATAAGGTTACTTAACCGGTACCTCTGGTATGCTGAAGGCCAATTGTGAAAAACGCAGAGACTCACAATGGAGATGATGCACTGCGATAGATTGTAGCCAACATTCTCGGCCTGGAAACGGGTCATTTCAAAACAAGTTCACACGCAAGTCCGCACACCTCTAAATTAAGAAAATTCCTCCAACTCCTTAACGCACGGATTCACCAAGTGTGAGGTTTCAGTCGTCATAATCGACGATTTACGACCTCAGAGTCTTCCCTAAATAGTTCAGAACGACATGGGTGCTGGTAGAAGGGCTCTGTACTTGGACGGGCAGGAAGTCGTTCAAGAGGTCTTGGTTGTCGCGATGCCCTCCTGGCCTGGGCTCTGGTGTTCGTCGTGTTCAGCAGTGTGTGTTCAGTAGTGTGAGTTCAGTAGTGTGAGTTCAGTAGTGTGAGTTCAGTAGTGTGAGTTCAGTAGTGTGTGTTTAATAGTGTGTGTTCAGTAGTGTGTGTTCAGTAGTATGTGTTCAGTAGTGTGAGTTCAGTGGTGTGTGTTTAATAGTGCGTGTTCAGTAGTGTGCGTTCAGTACTGTGTGTTCAGTACTATGAGTTCAGTAGTGTGCGTTCAGTAGTGTGTGCTCAGTAGTGTGTGCTCAGTAGTGTGTGCTCAGTAATGTGTGTTCAGTAGGTGCCTGTCCGCGGAAAGCGGTATGCTCGGCCTAATCGCGATGGCTTATGTGCTGAGGAGTGACGCTATACCGCACCCGGGGATCGTGGCGAAGGTTATCGAAAACTGAACGCTGTCGCCTAAAAGTATAGGTGCCATGAGGGATTTGGGGGCTGGGTTATGAGATAAAAGTCCTGCTCAGCATGTTCACGTGTTCCGTCTTCATGACAACGACGACGGTTTAAAAAAATGAGATGTTTTGTTATGCTGAGTTGACACAGAGTTTTGAAAGGGGGCGTAATCTTCAGCGCACTACACTACTTTATGGAGGTTGCAGGTGGCTGTACATCTCCCGCTTGGGGAACTTTTGGAGCAATGTTCATGCAAAATATGGGCTGAGCGGTGGACTGTTGGCTAGAATAAGGCACCATGGATAAGAACAGGTTGATTCGCAATTAGCAGCCACACACCTTCTTTGGGCTCTTGGAACATTGAGGGTCAAATATTTGACATTTTAACAGGAGTTGCCATTCTGGAGCCCCGACGAGTGCTACAGCTACAGACTATTAATCAGTTAGATGTGCGGCTTGAGACAGGGCGTGAAGTCGCAAATGAAAAACGCATATCTATATCACTACGACTGGCACACACACATTACACCTAGCAATCACGTGTCTCGATTATTTTCCATCCGCTTTCAATCAACAGAATAAACTATACGAACTGGCCGCGGGTAAGCGGTTGAAGCGTAGTACGTCTATCCCACGGAACATTTCATCATCGTCGGGCGCAGAGAAATCTACGGCTGTCACTAACAGAGAACGTTGTCTCCCCAGCACCAGCCATCGTGTTGATTTCTACAGAGAGCATCGGGTTATGTCACATCCGCAGGGAGTTTATTACATATTCTGATTAGCGAGAGGCACGGCTACGCCGGCCGGCAGACAGAGAACGGCCGAGGCTACGACATGCCGACCAGTATCTGCGCCGGCGGCCCACGGCGTCCGCTGGACAGCAGTACGGTGACGTCACATGCGTCACGCGCAGTGACGTCACACAGCTCACGCACAGCGTCAGCCTCACATCAAGCCAGTGACTCAGGCAGGACACAACTCAAAGCACCATGAGAGCAGACACTGGGCGCTGGGCGGACGGAAACCGCCCCGAACGGCAGCCGTACACAGCGCGGTGAGCGCTATAAACCAGTCACACTTAGCATTGCATGCCGCACGTCAGCTGTGTGAAACGGTCACGCCAGCTCCAAAGTAAGCTATATGCCACACTCATTCCCGCGGAATGCGGTAAGCCTGACGTCGGTCACGCGCGGTGATGACGCCAGATTGTGGCTGCAGCAAGCATTTCTCAGTTGCTAACGTCCCTACCAGAGAGCAGCACTCAGCACACGTGCGGCGCAGAGCACAGGTCACACGGCGCCAGCTCTCGTTAGCCCCTTTACGCCTCACGCACACATTAAATAAGCACTGCTGCCCCGCCACAAACGCTCACTGTCGGCGAACAATGGCGCTAAAATATCAACCCCGCCATCGGTCAGTGGATGTGTTCATTGTTTCTGGTCCGATCATGTCATGTTGGCACCTGCTGTCCTGGTCTGAGTGCGGCGGGGACGCGCGCAGTGCACGCACGCGTCACACATCCGTCCTGAGGCTACACCTCTGGCCACGGCGTCTCGTCGTTGACACCGCCTGGAGAGGGTCCGTGCCGCTGGGCGGGAGCAGCGACACACCGCGCCAGCTCCTGGCCACAGCTCGTGGCGCAGGCCCCATGTCACTGACTTGAAACTGGCTACATTGGCACACAGCAGTTGGCTAGTTGAGCCCCGAAAAAAAAACAACGAACAGCGGCGCACGGGCTTGAGTGCAGCGCCGTGCCGGGTGCGGTGTGGCGCCGTCCGAGCGCGCGCCTCCCAGCCCAGGGTGCCGGCGGGCGCGAGCCTGCTCAGTGGCGCCGTCACCAGGCGGTGTCCTCCGCGCTCTCGCAGCCGCGTCCACCGACGATCCGGAAGCGCCGCCCCGGCGCCGCCCGGCTGGTGGCCAAATGACGTCATAGCGAGGTCATGGCCGGCGGCCGGGCGTATGCCTTCGGGATGAAGCCGTGCTTCCTGGACTTGGGCGAGTAGGCCCAGAGCCAGCCATCCACCGTCTGGTTGTTGAGGTCGGCGTAGATCCAGTCGCCGCGCCGCACCGAGAGGTCGTCCGGCGCCTGCGCCTACGGACAGCTGGGCGTCAGAGGCAGGGACCCCGGATAGCCGGGCGTCAGACACAGGGACTCAGGACAGCCGGGTATCAGACACAGAGACTTGAGACAGACAGACGTCAGAAGCAGGAACCCCGAACTGCCGGGCGTCAGACGCAAGTACTCAGGACAGCGTCAGACGCAGGAACCCCGAACAGCCGGGCGTCAGACACAGGGACTCAAGACAGCCGGGCGTCAGACGCATGGACTCGGACGGCCAGGCGTCAGACGCAGGGACTTGGGACAGCCGGGCGTCAGACACAACGACTCGGGACAGCCGGGCGTCGGGCACAGTGACTCGCGACAGCCGGGCGTCAGACGCAGGGACTCAAGACAGCCGGGCGTCAGATGCGAGGACTTGGGACAGCCGGGCGTCAAACACAGCGACTCGGGACAGCCGGGCGTCGGACACAGTGACTCGGGACAGCCGGGCGTCAGACGCAGGGATTCAAGACAGCTGGGCGTTAGATGCGGGGACTCGGGACAGTCGGGCGTCGTACACAGCGACTCAGGACAGCCGGGCGTCGTACACAGCGACTCGGAACAGTGGGGCATTAAGCGTAGCGACCCAAAACAACTGGTCGTCGGTTCTGGCTGTTGTGGTCGTGGACAGCTTACACCCGTGCAGGCCATTGCGTGCGTAAAATGAACGGTTAAAACAAAGCATTCGTCGTACAAGTGCAGATAGTGGCCTCATTGTACCGCACGTTACGTCCCATGGGATTTATATCAAGCTCAGCCGGGGACGGAAAACACCCACTAGGAGACTACCTGATGCCTGTCTCCAGCCGAGGTGTTTTCACAACAGAAAATTGCTAGTTGTAGTTACTGCATTCAAATCCCATTAACAAATTTGGAGTAGTTATAACAACCCTGATGGTCACAGCAAACATTAAAGTGGGGCAGAGAAACATCAGGCAGGGGCTAACATTGATAATCATCATCACATGGCCACGCCTTCGTGCCCTTTGTTACGACCTTAAGGGTGTATCGGAAGGCACAGAACCCAATCGCTGCATACCAGCCATCTGACTGCACCAAATCTCCCCTCGCCTGACGCTGAGACCGCCATCACCGGGTGGTCCGGGGCCGTCTTACGGCCTGGCAGCGTGGACTGGTCCGAGGCCGTCTGACGGCCTGGCAGCGCGGACGAGACCCGCCTACCTTGTAGTCGTAGAGCATGACCAGCTCCGTGCCGTGGAAGCGGGGGTCGTCCTGGCCGGGCGGACTCAGGTGGTGGCCGCCGTGGCCGCCCGGCGACGACGGGAACTGCTGGTGACCCGGGGGACTGCCGCCCGAACCCAGCTCTCCTGCGGGGCCGGGCACCGACCGGTCACCGCCCATGTCGCACGGTCTCGGAGCACAGCGGGACTCGGCACCGTCACCGAGCTGGCGTCGTCACAGAGCGCCGCAGTGATGCTGGTGTCACCGAACGAATGCCGAGCGTACAGATGGCACTGGTATCACGCGAACTTGGCATGCTGCATAACGTAGCGCAGGTACCTCCAATAGTACCGCAATGGAGCACGTGCCTCCAGCAATACATTCAATTAGGTATTGCATTGGATTGCAGTGCTTTGTGACGTTCGATGGCAGCGCAGTGTTGCACGCTGTGGTACGGTGTTGTACACCACTGTGCGGTGCTAACAGTGTGATACGGTGCTGTACATCACTGTGCGGTGCTCATGGTGTGGTTCGGTGCTGTAAAGCACTGTGCAGTGGTCATGGTGTGGTGCGGTGCTTTAAAGCACTGTGCGGTGCTCATGGTGTGGTACGGTGCTGTAAAGCACTGTGCAGTGGTCATGGTGTGGTGCGGTGCTTTAAAGCACTGTGCGGTGCTCATGGTGTGGTACGGTGCTGTAAAGCACTGTGCGGTGCTCATGTTATGGTACGGTGCTTTAAAGCACTGTGCGGTGCTCATGGCAGTGTGCAGGGCTGTCCGCTGTTGCACAACATGGCATGGCATTGTTAGGCGCTTTAACCTCGTCCACAAACATGAAATGTCGCACGGTGTTGCACGCTATTGCGCAGTGTTGTACATTATCGCGCACTGTTGCACAGTATCGTACAGTGTCACGCGGTGCCGCACGGCGCTGTGCGGCAGTACAGCAGGCCGTGTACAGTGTCACGCGGTGTCGTGCGGCGCTGTGCGGCAGTACAGCAGGCGGTGTACAGTGTCACGCGGTGTTTCACGCTGCTGAGTATTGCGTGATGCTGTGCGCCCGTTGCTGAACAGGCCGCCGGTGTGCCGGCCACAGGTGGCGCGCAGCTGGGACAGGGGCCGGCGCTCACCGGTGGCGCTGCGCTTGTTGCGGGGCGGCTCGGCTGTGGTGCGGGACCAAAACGCCTCTCCGGGCAGCACGTCGGCTGGGTACACGAACGCCGACGGCACGAACCCCTCCTGGCCGTCGGAGCGCTCGATCCAGAACCTGTCGGCACGCGGGCGGGCGGCGTCACACAGCGCCGCTGGCGCCGCCGCAGAGCGGGCACCCGCGGGCAGCACGTCACAGGGCGAACAATGCGTGGTAGCTGTAACTGTGGCGTACCGCCGGCGCGCACAGGGTGGTAGCTGTGACTGTGGCATACCGCCGGCGCACACAGGGTGGTGGCTGTGACTGTGGCGTACCGCCGGCGCGCACAGGGTGGTGGCTGTGACTGTGGCGTACCGCCAGCACAGACAGGGCTGTGGCTGTGACTGTGGCGTACCGCCGGCGCACACAGGGTGGTGTCTGAGACTTTGACATACCGCTCGCGAACGTCACCAGCAATTAGCACTTGGCGTCCAGGTGTAAGCAGCTGAGCCGTGATTTGCATTGGGAAACATCACCTGTCCATTCCAGTGTCCTATTTCTCAGCGTTTCTCGATCTCAGCGGTGTGCGCGTGCGCTGATTTCTCCACGAAGGAGCATAACTTTGTCCGAATAAGTGATAAAACGGAACCATAGCGTCAGAACACGGTACAGGGCACGATGCACTTAAAACGAAGCTGAAGAGAGGTTAGCGAAAGTCGTACACGTCGTACAAGGTAACGGTTCACGGTCAGAACACGTAGTCTGAGGTGGGACATGAATCCCTCGTTCAGTTCAAAACGCTGAAAATTAGTTCACCATTTTGAGGTGGCTAGGCTAAGCACGACATCCACAGGAGTAGGCATAGAGACGAACTTAGCATAGCTCAGCATGTCAAAGTTCTTCACACTCCGGGTCGGATCTGGTATCACAGGTCCTTCTGCAAAGCTTCAGTTACAGCTGGATGCAAGCCGCAACAGAGTCCAGCGGCGTGCGCAGGGACTCACAACGCGTGGGGCATAACTTAAGAAGGTACACTGAAAATCTCAGGACGTAAAACAGCATCACATATTTTTGACTTGTTCAGCCTCGCGTGTCTACATTTTAAGCTTTAATTGCCAATGTGTAGTCACGCAAACCTTACTACGCATCGTTATGTTGCTGCGGAGTGGGCTTGTGCCGCTGGAGGCCATTACAAGCATACACCAGTGATAGAGTAAATAAAACTCGCTGTCAATGGTACTTGCTGTTTGTTTGTTCTCCACTTGTGTCTGAAAGCGTGTAAGTGCGTATGTGAGGTAGCCAATAAGTTTCGGTGCAGGCCGAGAAGATCTCCCAAACTGGGTAAATTTTCGTGGCGAATGAAATCACAACGCCATAACGGTCGCCCCTGCAGATAATCGCATACGGCAGGCTTTCGTTACCCGTCGTCCTCCTCACTGTCATGGCGCCCGAAGTACGTCTGTCGCTGGATATAGCTATGTGAGGCCCACTCACCACTCGTGGTCCTCCTTGTTGAGCACAGTGACAAACTCTCCCCGCTCCACTGAGACGTCGTTCTCGTCACGCGGCATGAACGTGTAGAGCACGATGTAGCGCCCGGCCGGGTCCTGCAAAAGGTAGCCACCTCCGTCAGCGGGACAACAGTGCATTGTTGGGGATCGCGGAGGACAAATACCAGATCCAGTCCGCGGAGCGTTAGGAATAATTGTTTTGGTATGAAGGAATTCTGGGGAAGGTGGCTAGCATCTGAGATGGCCCTTTTGGATGGTTTGTTTGTGAACACACTCTTGCTATTGACGATGAATTTCCAAACAGGATGCAGGTAACAGCGGGGAAGAGAGATGTTGTATGAACTAGGATGTGTCGTATTCTCAGGTTCATACTATGGACACAATGTACCGAAAAACATTAACAGGTAGACCTCTTGCCTTTGTTTCGCTTATCATGAGAGTAAGCTAGCCAGCACGCTTCTCCGGTGGTTTTCAGGTATTTCCACCACTTCGTTATTTTTCTCGCACGGCACGATATACCCCCAAATCCAAATGCATTCACGTAAATCCGTCAGAACATTGAAGTTTAGTAAGGCTGGGTACAAACCAAGGTTACTGACTTTCGGAACAGCATAACCCCAAGTGTTTGGCTGTTTAAAACGTTTGATTCTGAAACGCGCTGTGCAATGGGTTATTTTACCAACCACAGCACATCTCTTTTACTATGCGCACTACTGTCCAACGCAGGAAAAGAATACCATGGATGCGTATAAATAGGCGGTTTCATATTTGGACAGCCCTGTCTTGTAGTTTACGGGTTCCACAGACTCAGGTCCCGCACCTTTCGCTGCCAGTAAGGATAGTGGCAAGCCTGGTTCCCTGTGAACGCTTCCTGAGGAAGAGACCCGCAGGTGGCGTAACCACTGTGCGACCTCACGGTTGGGCAGGAGAAAACGTCAGGTCGGGTACCCACCTCTTCTGAAGATGTCTCCATTACAAAATAGCTACATGTGAGGTGTTGTTGACTTTGAAGGAAGACAAAGGCTGCGTATTGGTGAGCTCTCATTGAAGACAAGGTGCAGGTTTTGTGATAATTTTACGCTGAAAGCGACTGAGCATCACCAATTGGTGACCTTGCCTTGAAGAAGGAGTGTCCGTCGGGTACGTCGCCGGTGGCCTCTCCCTGAAGGAATGGGCGTCGGGTATATGACCCCATTGACCCCATCTTGAAGTAGTGTTCGTCGGGTATACCTGGTGACCTCTCCCTGAAGGAGTGTCCGTCGGGTATGCCCCCGGCAACCTCTCCCTGAAGGAGTGTCCGTCAGGTATGCCCCGGTGACCTCTCCCTGGAGGAGTGTCCGTCTGGTATACCCCCGGTGACCTCTCCCTGAAGGAGTGTCCGTCAGGTATGCCCCGGTGACCTCTCCCTGAAGGCGTGTCCGTCGGGTATACCCCCGGTAACCTGTCCCTGAAGGAGTGTCCGTCGGGTATGACCCTGGTAACCTCTCCCTGGAGGAGTGTCCGCCGGGTATGTCGCCGGTGGCCTATCTCTGAAGGAGTGTCCGTCAGGCGTGCATCCAGTGACATCACCTTGAAGAAGGGGTGGACGTCGGGCGCAGGTGCGCCGTGGCCGCCCGGCGCCGAGCGCGGGTCCGGCGGGCCGGCCTCCGTGAAGCTGTCGTTGTCGGACGTTTCCACGCCGTTGCGATCTGCGGCAGGTAACATGGGGCGCTATAACTGGAGCGCGGTGGGCCTGTCCTGCAGTGTCAGCCGCTGCCCGCGCCTCCCGAGGCCGGCCAACGCTCCCCCTCCGGTGGGTACGTGGCCCTGCAGCTGGCTCGTGCAGGTCGCATCAGTCACACGAGGTCAGCGCGGTTCAGCGGCGAACAACAGCGCCGGATGACTATAAAATGCGTCATCGACTGTACAGACTCCGAACAGAGACAGAGAAGCGGGCCAGGCTTAGCTGGGGAGCTTGAGAAACCGTATCACAGTATATATTACGGCAGGGTGGTGATGCCTCACGCGGCCGGCAAATGTGCGCGGGGACAAACCCACCGGCCATAAATCCTCCGCCTCTGTCGTGCGGGTCTGTGGCTGTCAAGTTATTAGCGCGAGAACATGAAATATGTGGGAAAGAGGACACGTCGTGAGTTTCTAGTCGCTGCAAATGAAATGAAAAGTGGCTCCATCCCAAGCTTGGTGCGGGTTTGATGAACTTAACAACGCTCCAAACGCAAGGCCGAAATATACGGCACCATACGTGTCCGTCTGCCAATATACGGCACCATACGTGTCATGTCATAAGTCTGATAATACTTCACTTCAAATGTTTAAGGTCAGTTTATACTAAAAAGACGCAAAATATCACAAAACACATTGCACAGCATTTTTGGTATCTACTTAACGCGACTATAAAAATGTTCATCTGCATATCCCGGTGTGGTGCTGAAGTCACGATTACCGACACCCTTCGGCACTGGCGGACACGCTCCTCACGATCACCGGCTTTGCTGCTCTTCGTGCTGGTGTTGCCTATGATATCACTGAGCCTCCGACAGTAGTCGCTGTTTCCTGTTGCCGTATTTTCGATACCCATGTCAGAGGCAGCCCCCATCAATATCGGTACTGATGATGTTACCTAGTTCGCTATGAGTGTGTGCGTTGGTAACATCAGCTGTGCTGATGACAACATGTCACATGCTTGCCTCGCTCGGAGCTTTTCGTCCCCACGAGCAAGTAGCGGACTGTTCAATGAGCTTGAATTTTGCCACGGCTTTTACGACATATCGTGCCATGAACCTGGGACTACGTCTGGCCCCAGTGGGTTGTTGAAAGACGAATTACCGCGTGTACCTCTGCTGATGAATCCCCCGGCGCTATTGCTTATAGCTGTGCTAGCAAAGCCGATAGTTGCGTCGTTACTCACTTCCGCTGTGATATTATGCCTGCGATGACGTTGCCAAGACCCTGTCATAGTCTGACAAGGTCTTTGGCAACCCACACACCTCTACTGGCGTTCTCAATCATCGCATTGTGGTACACCACCTGCGCGTAATAAGGCTGTTTGGCACGGCCAATGGCCATGTCGCTGAGCACCTAATCACTGCGTATATTTAACCTGTGCTGCTTTTGCCGATGGTCGTGTTGTGACTCGTGCCGGTTGTGTATGCTGTACCTGTACTGGCGTTGCCGATGGTCGTGTTGTGGCTCGTGCCGGTTGTTCATGCTGTACCTGTACTGGCGTTGCCGATGGTCGTGTTGTGATCCGCCTCCCCGCCGCCGGGGCCGGCTCCACTGCCGTCAGGCACCGCTAGCTCGCGGGGAAGCTTCTTCTGTGAACAGGAGCCGAACACTCAAAGCCGCTGACACGCGGTATCAGACGGGGCGGACGACCAGATCGCTGATACTCGGTGTGTCACACACCTAGAGAGTTGACGTTGAACACGGCACGCGCCAAGAGGACCGGCGTTCAGCACAGCGCGCGCCAAACATCGCTCTGCGTCAAAACAACGCGCGGGTGACTGATAACGAGCACGGGCCCGTGCGCTCTCTGGCGGTCGCCGCCAAGCCGGGCCGGCGGCGGTCGAAGCTGTGCTCTCACCTTCACGCTGAACGTCAGGTCGCCGAGCTGGGAGCCATGGGGCGCGCAGTACGAGTGCGGGATGAACCCCTCCTGCTGGCTCGTCTCCGAGATCACGTACACCCAGTCGTTCTCCTGGTACAGCACGTTCACCACCTGTCGACGGAGCGGCAACGGTGAGCCGGTGTCGCAGGGCGGCGCGCGGCCCGGCGCCGCCTGCGGTCACGCTCCGAGGCCATCCGAGACGCAGCCGACAGGGCTGGCCTCGAGGTGGGAGGGTCGCCACCGAGTCCGGCCGGACTCCGCCACCATATCGTCAGCAGCTGAGCACTGGCAGGGCTGGCCTCGAGGCCGGAGGGCCGCCACCGAGTCCGGCCGGACTCCGCCACCACATCGTCAGCAGCTGAGCACTGGCAGGGCTGCACCCACTCCCGGCATACGTTAAGGACCCGGTCCGACGGAATCAATTAAATGTGTGACACGTCTCCTGCATTGACGTGTCACATACATTCTTGCTTATATGAGACATGCATCCTGGATGAAGCGCGCTGCGAGGTCATTCACTATACAGCAAGTGAGCAGGCTTAGGCTTCACTTCGCTTGGGTGGAATCGATTCTGAATCGCAACCAAGGCGAACACATCTAAATTCGATTCAACGCTACTGTTGAAAAATGAAATCAAGCTCGAATCTGGCCTCAGTAGTTATTCCTCCTGATCTTGTTTCAAATCACAATCAAGTTTGCGTTGTTAAGAGCAGAACGGGCAGAAACAAAACCCATGATAATACCTATCTTTATGTATCTTAATACTCTCTATATACTGACATATCCCTATACTAACCGTGCGTGTGTGTGTTAATACATTTCATCGATCTAACCGCTTTATTATTGGTTACAATGGATGAAACAGCACAGAGCTATGGGCACGCATTTACGTGGAGCAACAGCAGCATATCTGTTTGGTATTGCGATTGAAAAATAAATGTCTTGGAGCATGAATGACAAGATATTCGGCATAACTTAAGAACACCATTTAGTCCAGGGTAATAGCAAAAAAAATCCTGCCCCCAAGATAAAACCTCTCGGGACTTGTAGCCTCCATCCCCAGAACTTGGCCTCCATCCCTACCCACTGGGCAGATGTTCACAACTGTGCATTTGTCCCTTAATGTTGACCTATTCTAGGCGGGTGTTTCACCTCCTGCAGCGTCAAGCCGACCACGCAACACCCAAGGAATTATGATGGATTCATTCGGTG